AAGGGGAAAAATTAGAACCAAGAGAGACTATGTAAAGGTGCAAATTTCCAATGATGAATGTCATTATATTGTATACCTAAAATGTACCAATAAAATAAAAAATTTTTTTTTAAAAAGGCTGCCAGTCAGTGGATCGGAGGCCAATGAGAAAGGAAAAGGCTACTGTCCTGGCTTAAAAAATTTAATAAAAGGATCGGTGCTGTCTTGTACTTGACAGAGATGCTCACAGTTTTGCTGTCTAATGTACAGGTTACTTAAATTTGAAATTATGGGAGGAAAGCCATGCACACATAGAGATTCAGATTTACATTGAATATAAGAATTAGGCAGATGACATCTAGAGGCTTAGTCTTATTCCATTGAACTCAAATAGATCTTCAAGACTCAGGGACTTTTTTGTTTAACACATAAATCACAAATTCAAGAGAGATTCAGTCATGATGGGAATTATGTTTGCCTTTGAAGTATAAGCTATGGAAAGGCTCTTAGTTTCAAGAGGAGTTTACTGAGCTGAGAATATCACACTGTCCTAGAAAACAATGTTGTTTCCCTTTTTAGGACTGATTATTCGCAGATTTTTCCGAGTGTTGTTTAATATATAAAACCCAGAAGTTTTCTTGTAAAGGTCTAGACTTCTATGAAGAGGAGACAGTCTGTTTTAACTATTTGAATTTTATTCCTTTTTGACGTGAAACTATGGAACATTCAGATAATCTTATCATGTTAGTATTCCTATAAGAGAAAACAGGTAAAACAGTATGTAGAAAGTAGGGCCAGTAAATCTTATTGCAAGCATTAGATGTGCTTAAAAGTTATTAATTCATAACTTGCAATTGTTAAATGTGTATGACTTAAATGTTAAGATCCCACAATTTAAGATACTCTTCTACAACATAAATCCATATACTCATATTAACTCTAGGCTTCACAAATCAGATAAGTAAATAGAATGTGCAAGAGTCAAGGGATAAATAATATAGATATATATTAGTTATATTACCTAATTAAAGCCATAATTTGTTAATACAGCTATGGATTTATTTTTTAAGTGTCGTCAAATGTACTACAATTAGTGTAGTTGTTGTGTTTTCCAGTGTTGGTAAAGTTATTAAAGTTCTTCACTTTCATAGAGTCCAGACTGAGCTGCCAGACGCTGAAATTCTCCTTCTGGGTTAAATGCTTGTTTCACATCCAAACCTTTCCCATTCAGCGCTAAGTATTTGCTGAAAGTTGGTCGAACACGCAACTGCTTAGGAGCTGGAAGTGTTGGGTTTGCACGGGCTGAAATAGATCACATAAAAATCAATTCAGAAAGTCTGTTCTCAACAAAAATAGGTTGTACTTGGTCTTCATTTTCAGGGAAAGAAGAAAACTGATTAAGGAGAAAATACCTCAGATTTTATGCTATGCTGGGATTTATGTTTAAATTAAATTTAAATCTTCATTAAATCTTCCCAGTTAGACGCATTTGGACATGGGTTGATAGTGACGTACCTGTAACATCTAATCTTGTGTTACATGTGGTCACGCCAGCTTCATTAACTGCAGACACAGTGTACCACCCAGCATCTTTCTTGTTTACGTCTTTTATCAGTAAAGTAATTCTTCCTGTGTTATCATGATACAAGCTGGAAAAAAAAAGCCCCAAATATGAAAGGAAGAATTAATTAATTCCCGTAGGAATTAATTTTTTTGTTTTGTTTTGGAAATGTTAAGTTATATCTCTGATCTCCCTAATCTACTAATAAGAAAAGGCAGCCTTTGAAAATTCCAAGGCTGTATCTAGTCATTGTCAAATAGCTGTTGGTTTTCTTAAATTAAACATCCCACCTGAGGCTGCATAAAGCACTAGGTTAGATCCCCAGGCAAAACACACCAAAAAACCAAAACCACTCTCCCACTCTTTTGTTTTTGAGACAGAATCTTGCTATATAGCTCAGACTGGCCTTGAATTCTCCATCCTCCTGCCTTAGCCTCAGGAGTGCTGGGATTACAGGTACACGCCACCATGACCAGCTCTCCTTCCCTCTTAATCTTGTTTATGTCATTTATGTCTTTGAGACATCTTTCTGTATGGTTCCAATTTTAGTATATGTGCTGCCAAAGCTAGTGCAAGACATTTTTCTTCATTGTTAGTAAAAAGGTAAATCCTAAGGTAGTTTGTGCCTTAAATTTTGATTAGTGGAATCTAATTTAGTGAACTCTTATTATACTTCTCTCTAAATGTTTTAAATTAGAAAAACTGAGATAATAATTATATATCATTTATAATATATGTTAAAGTATAACTGGATTCATCCAAATAAACTTTAGGTAAGTCTAGAAATATTTATCCTACCTTATTCGGTCGGTGTTAAATTGTACCATTTCATTATTCCTTTTCCAGAAAATCTTTGGTGGAGGTATTGCTGAGATCTGGCATTCTAGTTTCACTGAGTCTCCCTCAAAAACCTTTTTGCTCTGTGGTTTGTAGATAAACATTGGTGCCCTTTTATGTTCTTTTGCTACATATTAATAAAAATTTGAGTATTTAGAATATTATAAAATAATAAGTCAAAACTAAATGTAATAAAATTTATATGCTGACATTAAATGTTTTTAAAAGCAGCAACAGGATTGTAAGCTTTTTAAAAAGTTTTAATCAAAATACTATAATATACATTGCTATCTATGCTACATTTCTAAAACTATAATACTGTAAAATGATTCATTGAACTTAGAATCATATTTTTTTCAAAGAATTTAAGTCATCTTATGTATTGAGAGGCAGCATGAATGGTGGCAGGAGAATTATGTACACAAATTGAATTCAAATTCTGTATTGGAGGGGGTGTAGCTCAGGGATAAAAGCATTTGCTTAGCATGCACAAGGTTGTGGATTTGATCCCCAGCACCAAGAAAAAAAAAAGTCAAACACACAACTCTATTGCTCCCACAAGCTATATCAAATTGGAAAATTTTTCTTTAGTTTCTCTTACTCTCAGTTTCATCTATTGTAAAAAAAAAAAATTCCAAAGTAGAAAGGACTGCTTGTGCCTACCACACAAAATAATTGGGTGGAATAATAAATGAAGAGATACTTTGTAAACTGAAGTGATGTAAAAATATCAGGAATTGTTATAACTTCAACTACTTGATGTACAGAGGAAATGGTGGTACCATATCATAACTGGCTTCTCTGAAGGAGCAATGAGGAGTGTGGATAGATGCCAGCCAAGGTCTCTTTGAGCTATAATACTAAAGTATTTCTGAAGCCACTGATGCAAGTAGAATTTACCCAGAGTTTAATCAATTGAATTGTGTGTGTGTGTTTTATTCCTAGCTCCCTAGTTTTTTCTTGGATTGAGGCCCTGCAGTATATCATAGAATATGTAATCTTAATGATTTTTCATTGATTTAGGGTAGAATATAAACTCAAGAAAATTGTTCTTTAGCCTGATCAGGCGCTAATGTAATAAGCAGTGAATTATAGTGAAATATCTCTTATGAAAACATACTGTTACAGTTGTGGTATATTTAAAGTGCTTAAATAGCAACATTTAAAATCTGGACACCAATTTCATAAGAACTGCCCTACCAAAGCCAAATTTGATGCATAGGTTTTATCACACCTGTTTTCTAGAGCAAGTAGGAATGTTTTTGTTATAATTAGAGGTGATTTTCCTTTGTGAAGCTAAAGATTGGCGTTTACTTTCCAGTTTTAAACTGTGCACTTAAAATTATGACAGCTTATGACCATGCTATAAAAATCAGGATTTAGGTTGATTATTTTAAACCATAGACCAGAGAAATGATTGGACTAAACTTTTTTTTTTTTTTTTGGTACTGGGGTTCGAACTTGGGTCCTGGCACTTGCGCAGCAGGCAATGAAACCACTGAGCTAAATCCCTGGCCCTTGGACTAAACTTTTTATGTTGAAACTCTAAATTCTATGTAAAAATGCTTATACTATCTTATTTGATCTAAAATTGTACAGTGTCTTTATTTTCTTCCTGGAAATTTTTTGTTTGTAGATCCATCATTCTAGTCTCACTGAATTTTTCTTAAAAATATCTTTTCTGATTGTTGAGAGATACATGAAAAATATAATAATATTGATAGAAACCCTAATGACCACACAGCGTGCTCAACCACTGAAACAACCCTGCTGATAACAAGTGGATCTTGAAATGGAAATACATCCTTCTATTATTAAACCCGACCACTCGTTCTTTCACTTTCAGCAAAACACCATCTGTCATGTAAATTAATGCCATTCATTTTTTTAAAAATTGGCCTTCCACTAGGTTATTTAGACATTAACTTTGAACATGGGATCCTCTTGGATTTTCTTTTTTAATACCTTCTTTCAGAATACTTTAAAAATACTTTTTCTGAAAATCGCTGGATTTTTCAGGCTCTCTCTGGAGGCTTACCGAGGACGTCCAGCTGCACAGTGAAGGTGGCTTCTCCTGCTCTGTTCTTGGCAACACACACATATGCCCCTGCGTCAGAGGCTCTGACCACTTCAAAGATGAGCGAATGAAAGCCCTTCTCAGACACTATCATTTTGTGCAGCTCATCTGACTGAACTGGCCTCCCATTTAGATACCACGACACATCAGGAGCTGGCAGTCCACTCACCTGGAAACAGAGACACAGGACATGGCAGAGTTTTATTTTATTTTTCATGTTTTGGTATTTTTCTCATTTAATATGATACTAGTAACAAGATGATCTTTAAGACAATATAATGGAAAGCTGAGTAAGACATGAGCTCTTACACTAGATGAAGAGTTTAAGCTCCATGTCACAATTTATTGCTGCATCTTATTAAAAAATATAAAATTTACACCCAGAAGTCTTAAAAATGTACTCTTGAATTCTGTGCATTTGAGAAATTTGATTAGAGCACAGAATACCAGCCCTAGCAGCCATCGTTCTCATTAATTGTTTTGGTTTTTAAAATTTTTATTAGTGTAAGTTTGCAATACATAATAATTAAATGTGTTTTCGGGAACTGGTACATATACATATTGCAACTTGATCTTTTTTACTCCCTTTTTCCCTTTATTCTTTCCCCCTTTCCCAGATCCCCTTCTCATCTCCACAAAGTCTATCTCCCTGTTTCCTAGTGTCTCTCCTTTTCTTTTGCTCTATAAACTATTTAAATTTTGGGTTTCTCATATGAGACAAACCACACAATATTTAACTTTCTGTGTGTGATTTATTTCACTAAGCATTATTATCTCAAATCCATCCATTTTCCTTCAAATGGCTCAACTTTTTCAGGCATGGGGCACATGTCTGTGATCCCAGCACTTGGGGGTTGAGGCAGGAGGATCACTACAAGTTTGAGGACAGCTTGGGCTACATAGTAAGTTCGAGGCCAGCTTGAACTACATGGTGAGACCCTGTCTCAAAGAACCAAAAAAACAACAACAACAAAAAACAAACCAAAAGAACAACAACAACAACAACAAACAGCAACAACAAAAAACACCAAATGGCTCAAATTTATCTTGCTTTATAGCTAAGTAGTACTCGATTGTAAATACATAACACATTTTCTTTATCCATTCATCTGTTGATAAGCATATAGGCTACTTCCATAATTTAGCTATTGTGAATTGTGCTGCTTATAAGCATGGGTATGCATGCAACACTATATATGATGAATTTAACTCTTTTATTTTTATTTTAATATTTTGGGGGTACTGGGCATCGAACTCAGAAACTTGCGCTTTCGAGGCAGGCGGCGGAACCCCTGAGCTAAATCTCTGGCCCAGAATTTAACTCTTTTAGGAAGATACCCAGGAGAAGTATAGCTGGGTCAAATGAAATTTCTATTTTTAATTGTCTGAGGACTCTTCATACTGATTTCTGTAGTGGTTGTACTAGTTTACATCTTTACTACCAACAACAATGTAGAAGGGTTTCTTTTTCCCTGCAACCTGACCAGCATTTGATGTTTTTTTGAGTCCTTGATGATAACTATTCTTATAGGAGTAAGATGAAATCTCAGTGTTGTTTTGATTCGCAGTTCTCTAATGGCCAAAGGTACTGGACATTTTTTCATGACATGACAGAATTTTAAAGTATAGCATCGATGGAACTCATTTGTCTGTTTATGAATTTCACAATTGTAGTGCCTGGCTCTGTGACTGAAAATGGAAAACAGGAGCTCAAAAAAGTATTTATAATTTTAAAAATGAAACAGAATTAAAACCCTCAAAATTAATGCTGTATATTATTTTCAGGCTCTCTCCAATTCCAACTAACTCTTTCACATGTATTTTAAATTACCATATTTCAAATATTGATTTTTATTACATCGATCTCCACAAGGACCATGGAAATTGTGTGGTATTTCTGGGTATGTTCTTGAGCTACAGTGTGCCATATAATTGGCAGTTTATTAAATGTTTTTATATAAGCCTTAACATTAATTTTCACTGATAAGGAATCTTGAAAAAGATTTTTATAAGAAAAAGTTCTCCAAAGCGAGGATAATAAAAATGTCCTGATTCTTTAGGAAGAAGGATTCGGGGTACAGGTGGGAGGTGAGTGGTAGGCGGGAAGAAGAGGGGCAATGGGAGGGGGAAAATAATCAGTGTGTTATATGCATGCATAACTACACCAAAACGAGGCTCCCTGTACTTTTTTTTGGTACCAGGGATCAAACTTGGGTCCTTGCCCTTGCGCAGCAGTCGGCAAAACCACTGAGCTAAATCCCCGGCCTCCCTGTTCTGTATAACTACTATGCACTAATAAAATGAAAAATACTTCCAACACCCTTCCATCAAAAATGAAATAGTCTCTTCTAATGTGCTATTCTATCCCGAAGAACTCTTCTAGGCCAAGAGAAAGCAAGGTGGCTTGAATTTGTTGATGGAGGAGAACTAAGAGCTGCATTATGCTTTAGAAATCCTATTGTCAGGATATCTTCACTTATATAGAGTATTTATTAGATATACCTTTTTTTTTGGGTACCGGGGATCGAACTCTGGACCTCAGGTTTTTGAGGCAGGTGCCGGAACCACTGAGCTAAATCCACTGAGCTAAGCTCTAGATATACCTATTTACTAAGTGAATCCTCATAACTACTAGGAAAGTATTTTTGTTATTACCATTTTGCAGATGAAGAGACAAAAACGCAAAGGGATTAAATGACTTGTCTAAGTTTACACAGCTGGAAAGTGGCAGAGCCAGGACTCAAACCCAGGGCAGCTTGACTCCAGAATTTGGTTCTTGTCTATTGAATACTTTTCAAGCCATGTGGCAAGCTATGAAGTAGGAAAAAGACATTTTTAAAAACTTAGTAATCCATTGGTAAATTTTCTCCAGTATCTAAAAACTCTTCTCTTACTTTGAAGTCCATTCTGCAGAATCTTCCTTCTTCAATTGACATGTTTTCTGGCACTTGAATGAAACGTGGTGGGTAAAATTTCTCCTGGATTGCATCTTGATCATTCACATCTCCTCTTGAGGATGATCTACTTCTAGAAAGATATTTTAACAGTAATTGTGCATAAATGTTGCCATTGCTTTTTTTTTCAAACAAATATAATTTGGTCATCCAATTTAAAAGCCTAGTGTCTGCTATTTGATCTGATGATCTAATTACAATGGAGATGGACCTTAGGGCTATATTTAGCTGTGCCATATTTGATGACTATTAGGTAGCAATTTAGAAACACTGGGTACAAATTTTACATCTTTGTTTTTTACGGTGCTATGAGTTGATAAAGAAACTGATCTAGAAGGGCCCCATGTATTATTCTTGTTGCCTGCAAACAAGAATTAGAATTGGATTTCTGTTGTCATTAGTAAGTTATTTAACACGGAAACATGGTCTTCTCTTATTTGACCAAAATCATTTTTTAAAACTTCCTCTGATAATTAATATAGAATTTTTGGTCATCATCTTCAACATTATGGAAATTCACATCATATTTTTTAAAGGATATCTAGTAAACTTTAAAACTTTATAAATGTTACTTTTTTTTTTTGGTACCAGGGATCTAACTCAAGACCTTGTATTTGCGAGGCATATGCGGTGCCATTGAGCTAAATCCCCGGCCCTATAAATATTACATTTTAATGTGGAAATGTTTTAGGCAGCAAAATATGTATTTCTTTAAAAATTAAAAAGAAATGATTACCTTACTTGTGCTGTGGGAACTTGTAATCGTGCGTGTTCTGCATTGTGCTGCTTGAAATTAAAACAAAGTGAGAATGTTAACACTGCAGTATTAGTTAAAATAAAGCAAAATTAAGTAGTTGTAGTTGAAAGGAAAGTTTCTATTTGGCTGTATTTGTAGAGATATGGTCAATTTTATATATTCAGCTTTTAAGCATTTAAATTGTAGTATAGTAACCATGTCTGTAGCAAGAAACCCTCAGAATTAATAGGTCTGTTCAGCAGATATTATTTATGAAAATTAGTTAAAGTTGAACTTGATATTCTTTTTTCACAGGACTATTTAATAACAAAGGATGATGTGTCCCTCTAGTTATGTAAAGTGGGAGCACATAGTACAGATTGTCCTTTAGCAAAACAGGAATAGACATGAAGTCATTTGTGTTGGCAGTGGATACAGGCTGTTGTACCTGCTGCTCCAAAGTGGCACCAATAGCAGTAAACACACATTAGACTGGAAAATACTTCTCTTTTTAGCTCATGGCACAAAATTCTGTTGAACACCATTAGAAATATATGTAGAACTATTAAAAAAAGCTTTGAAAATAGCATTAATTACTTCCTGCTTAAAAGGGTATATCTAAGTAAACATCTTTTAGGATTTATATCTGTCCCCCAGAAAATCAGTTCTATTTGAGAATAAAATTAAGAATTGTTAATTAACTAATTAAATGATTAGTGGCTATTTTCACTATTCTTGGTAAAAAGAGATAAAAGGAAGTGGAAAGTATAGTCCTAGACCCAATATTTAAACTACACCTTTATAGAAACATAGACAATCTGAGTATCAATAATTTATTTTGGGACAAATCTCTTTAGCTAATATATTTTCTCCTTTTAGAACAAGTCTTACATCTCTATAACAATTGGCTAGGCTTAATATTCTTTAAATAAAACCTCAAAACAACTGGTCAATTCAGCCATCCATCAAATAAACTAGGATTTTGGTATAAAATATAAATAATTCAATTAAATTTAAAATATCCAAGTTAAGTTTTGACTTTTGGCTTGAATGTGTTATATTAAGAGATGAGGTATATCAGTTATACTGTAATTTGATGAAACTTTGTATTATTTACATGTGTTGAAGTATACAAAAAATAAGATTTATCTTTTCTGATTTCATAATGATGTTTCTGCTGGTTTTTTCCTGGTATTATCATATTCAGAAAGAATGAAAAAAATAATACATCTTTGTCTTTGGAATCGTATGCTATGCATTTGTAAGAAAAACGGTCTTCAAGATAATGTTGATTTAAGTAATTTCCACTAATAGACATGGGTTTGTGGCCCTTTTCCATCCTTTTTGGTAAGTCTAGTTGCATTTAACAGAAACAAAAATCTTATTTTCACTTTTATATGTTGGAAGCTTAGAATTTTTGAATTCCTTGTTTCATGTCTGTGGCTCTGTGTTTCTTGTGGACTTTTGGGAAAGGAATGAGAAAGAAGACAAAAAGGAAGAAAAAGCAGTAACACTTCACTTTGCTCTCGCACTGTACATTGTTTTGGGGGTTTAGTTATTTATTAAAATCAAGTTGGTCAGCCTGTGGGATACTCACTTTTATGCTCTCCATAACGCTAATCCCTTCTTGGAAAAGATGTATTGTTAATCTTAGAGTATTACTCAGAAGAGTTTTTTTTTTTTAGATAAAAAACATTTTAAAATTTAAAAACATGACAAAAGGAATTAGATGTTTCATTACTATTCCAAGTATATTTTAAAATAACATTGAAATGATTAACAACTTATAAGAAAAGTTTATGATTACTTTGATTTAGAGTTTTGACATCTGTCCTGTTAAAGATTCACAACTCAAATTATCTGTCCATGCAGACATTATAAAAAGAGTCCTAGATCTAATGACCCCTAAGTGGCCAGACAAAAAGTCATACTATTAGTCTGCTGGTGTTTTGACTATGTGACATTTCATATCCAGATATTAGAACTACAGAACACGGTGTAAAATTTAACACACAAATATATATTTCATATATACATATATATATGAAGGGATCAATTTTTTCCAATGTTATTTATAAATCTGTAGAAAAACAGACATCTTATAAATCATGCAGAATAAAAGTGTTTTAAGCTGGAAACAATGGTAATAATGACTCTGGTCCCAGTTACTCAGCAGGCCAATGCAGAAGGATTGATAGAGCATGAGAGTTTGAGGCCAACATAGCAAGACCCCATCTCTTCAAAAAGAATGTTCCAGTTAGATAAGGAGTGTTTTAATTTACCTGTGGTGAATCTTGTGCATCACTGTTTTGCGCTTGAAACACAGCAGCTGCATTCTGTGGTCCAAGCAATCTGCGAGCCATCTTCTCCTCATATGTTAGCCTCTTTAAAGAAAATCATCAGACAATGATGAATGTAATTATATTGTATACCTAAAATGTACCAATAAAATTCATTTAAAAAATTTCAAATAAAAAGGATGGATTGGCTTAATCTAATATCAGTAAAAAAAAAAAAAGAAAATCATCACAGGATAGTGGTGAGATTTACTACAAGGTGTTTGAACAGATTTATCTTATTAAAGCTAGCACTCTAAGTATGCACTTCAAAGAGGTATAGTTCTATTGAATTATAGATTCTATAGGAGATTCTTTCCCTTCCTTGTTGTTCTGCACATCTTAATCTACTCTTTTTTTGAACATAGTATTCCTTACCCTCACATTCAAAAATAGTTTTATTAAGTGAACCCTATTTGTATTCACTTTTGACTGAGAGCCATACAACTGATATGCTAAATGTATTTGGATTAAAGGTAATAGTACTATTGAAAAGATAGGTGGTTGATAACATGTATGCAGTAAGAGATACGTAAGAATTATAGCTATACTTATTTGCCCATTAATATCATACACCAACAAAAATGTTGGGTTGATAGCATTTCTTTTTTTTCTGGTACTGGGGATTGAACTCAGAACTTTGGACTTGTGAGGCAGACATGGCACCACTGAGCTAAATCCCCAGCCCTGATAGTATTTCTTATTAGTTATTTAGCTATCAGACATTTTATGAGAGACCAATGTCTAAAACAAATTTTTCATTGAATCGGATTGATTTTTCATTAGCTTTATTCTTTTACTGTGGAAAACCAATACTTGATTTCATGCAGAGTAATATGAAATAGCACACCAATATTCCTTATTTTTAGATAATATTATTCCTTGCTGCTTATATGAACATAAATCTGTGAGAGAGAAAGAACTTTCCTGTTGAAATTAGATTCTTATAGTTTAATTGGCTACTTATACAAAATAGATCTCTTGCCCACTTGATTTCCATTATGAAGAAGGGTATCCTTGCATTTCAGTTTTCTCTCCAAATCCTGAATCAAAGCTTCTTTTGATCCTTGTATTTCATGGTCAGGAGTCCTTGGTGTGGGCTTAGCATTTGCAGTTTGGGATGGCCTAGCACTTACAGGTTGGCCAACTGAAGGTTGTTGATAGCTTTAAAAGGAAAAAAGAAAAGGTTTAAAATTTTTGTAAAATAGAAGTGATCCCATTTTTTTAAGTCATCTTTAAATATGAAGAATTTACCACTTCAGACTAGTAGTTTTATTAAAAATAATCAAGAAGGATTACCCTCCCCCCACTCTGTTAAGGATTTAGTTTAGTGGTTCTGGCACCTGCCTCTCAAGCGCAAGGTCCCGAGTTTGATCCCTGGAAAAAAAAAAAAAAAAAAAAAAAAAGTAAATGGGAGAAGGAAGAATTTAGGCATAAGGATGACATCCTTCCTTGAAGATCATCCCAAAGAATGTGAGTAAGTCTAGTTAATGGTAGCTTCTGAGTTCTTCCAGACTTCCAGTTGAATTTCTTAAGTTTGGTTGATGGGTGGATGTTAAAAACAGTGGTGTATTAGAGGCAGCTCATACAAGCTCACAAGAACTGGTTTTTAGCATCTTTTCTTGGCTACCTGTCACAATTTGAAATTGGTGGTGGTGGAAGTATTTATACTCGGGAGATAGGAACTACAACAAGTCATGGGCCTTTCCTCTAGAGCTGATTGTTGGACATCTACTAGTACACCACTGGTATTCAGTGAATATTCTATTGCTCTGAATGTAATCTACAGCTCACCTTCTCTGGCTTTCCTATTTATTTCCAATTTTTATTAATTTTATTTTCTAGAAAATTCAAACATTGTGCTATGTAACAAATAACTTCTAAAGTAACAACAATTTCTTCAGCATTGCTAAAGTAATTTTTAGTGAAAAAAAAAAAAGAGGGGTATGACTAGGCCAGATGGAGAAAGAAATGCAACTGAAAAAGTGGGTTGGAAAAAATACAAATCTGAATAGCAGTTGAAGAGTTTAGTTTAAGTCCTTATTTCAAGTTCTGTTCCTAAATTTACTTCTAATCTGTCCTTACCTCTCCAAAAGTTTCCCCATTGTTTCTAACAGAGGTGAGGCCGCAGTTTAGGAACTCTTGTATTTTTAGCTCTGTTAGGTTGTTCTAACTAGTATATACTAGTTCATAGTATTTTGTTCAGTGTTTGTTTGTTTGTTTGTTTGTTTTTGAGACAAGGTCTTGCTGTGTAGTCCAGGCTGATCTTGAACTCACTATTCAGTCCAGTCTGCCCTCAAACTTGTGGCAATCCTCCTGCCTCAGCCTCCTGAGTGCTGGGATTACAGGTGTGTGCCACCATGCCCAGCTGTGTTTTGTTCAGTTTTAACCTAATCTACTTGCAGAGGTCAATATAGGGACCTAGCCAGCTTCTAACAATCATTTAATATGGGAAAATTGATCATCACTATAACAAACATTCCCTACTTATCCAGATAAGACAACCTTGGTCTGTTCTCTGAATATGCCTGTCCAAATGTTCTCGAGGATCATTAAAAGGACTTGTGAGCTAAGTGGAATTGTACTCACTCTGAGTAGAGTCAGAGTTTTCACTTTTGCTGGCTTCGGGGACTTGGTTAGTAATCGTTAGATTATAAACATACTAGAGAAAAAACACCTTTTTATTATTTATCATTGTGTCATTTTATATCCAGTAATGCAAAGCATGGGTGCAGAGGACAATGTCAGTTCAGTAAGTGGTGTTTTTCATTGTATGCAAAATGCTTTGTATTGCAGGTTAGGGTGCACATTTCCCCATGTTACATTTCAAATCTTCAGATTTTTCACAGTTGTCTATATTAATCCTTAACTAATATCTTATTTGTTCAGTTAAGTAAGTAGCCAAAGCAAGTGCTTAGTTTTTTTCACTCCTCAAGATTGAATTCTTGTGCAAAAGTAGAGAAATTCCTTTGGTCTTATAAGTCTCATATTCTTCCAGTGGTATGAAATTTTTATAGTTTATTGTGGCTTTTTGTTTTGTTTTGTTTTATGTTTTTGTTTTTTTGAGACAAGTCTCGTTTTGTAGTTATGACTGGTCTTGAACTCACTTTTAGCCCAGACTAAGCTCGAACTCAAGGCTATCCTCCTGTCTCAGCCTCCCCAGTGCTGATATTATAAGCCTGTGCCACCACACCCAGTCTTATTGTGTTTTCCAATGCTAGCTTACCATCTCTATAAAAATCATATATTTGTTGAAATGAACTAGAATTAGACAATTCTATTTTCAGACTGTCCTGATAAACTTAGAAATTCTGAAGGGTTATGGAAACCAACTCTGAAAAGCATTGATGTGTACGTAAATCTGAGTCATTTCATTCTCTGAATCTTCCCATTATTCCAAGTATAAGTGGTTTAAGTGTTAGCACTTGATATCTGGTGCTATTTATAAACTAACATTATATCTGTACACCAAATTATTGGTCTTTTTTCTATTATTGATTATCCCAATTGCTAATTTTGCGACAGATCAGGAAACTTAATTACCAACCAGATAAGGTACTTGTTGAATGCCACACAGCAAGCTTTTTGGAAGAAATAAAGAAAATTAAAGAGACCCCCTCAATTTCCAGGGTGTAGTTTGATCAACTGAATAAAACATTTGCTTAAGAACTTCCTACCAATGAAAAGCTTAATAAAGCTTTCAAACTTCTTTAGGTCAGAATCCAAACGATTAGTTTAGAAGACATGGTGAACTTGAGCACTTGGTAACAATGACAGAGTTGTGCACAGCTGTTCAAAGGGCCAGGGCTTTCCACCCTGTGCAGCTGGACACTGAATGGTATCAAGTGGCTACAGGAAGATTAGAAGAGTTATCTATGTTGCTGAAAATGGAGCAGCTAAAGCTGGGTCTTTGATCTTTGATTTGGGGACCTCCTAGCCTTTCTTTCTTACTTTGCTTATTTTCTATTTTCTTTGTCTCTGCTTTGGTCTGAGCCCAGCACTATGTATGTGGCTGAGGCTAAGTGAAAATCTGTTTGATAGCTTTCTTCTCTGGGTAGGAATTTGGAATAGGATGGAAAGACTTTATTAAGAAAAATATCATAGTCAGAAAAGACTATTTTAGATTTTTTTAAATGCTCGGATAAGAAATTTGGAAAAAATAGAAAGCTAGATGAGATGATCTGAGCAAGTGTAACCAAGAAACACCTACAATTTATGATATGAGTATAATGGAAATTTGAGAAGAAGAGAGAGAGCGCTCTTAATTCTTGAAGACATTCTTTAAAAATGTTAAGTCAAGCTTATGAGAATGCCATTTTTGTAGGTCAAAAACAATTGACTATAAGCCATTTCAGATGGTTCAACCTGGTATATATAGGACTCTAACAAATGTTTTTGGCTTTCCTGATTTTTATTTTTTAAAATATGGAGATTTCTTTGCAATTAAATTGATATAGCCAGTTCAAGTATGTTTTTCAAATTGTCACCAATAGTAGAATTTCTAGAAAAATTAGTCTCTGGAGAAGACTGAGAAAAAATAGCAAGTGTCAGCAAATGTGTCAATAAAGCTACAATAAGACATATCCCGCCAGCCAAATTTTGAGATGTCCTTGATTTAATTCTCTGATTTTCTAGCCAGCCAAGACATAGGAAAACTGATAGTCCTAAGTTTGCATAAGCACAAAGTATTCAGTTCATGTTTTAAAAAAAGCACAAGAACTATGTCCTTCATATCAGGTTTACCTATGACAGTCTTTGGACTGTGAAAATAGTTCACACTTGCATAAGGCTACAGGTACTCTTCCCGGGATTTTAGATCATCCTAGTAATTTGAACAGGTTACAGTTTTAATTACCAAAGAAAACTTTAAGGTCATAAGCCTTCAGGTTCTATTCAAACCTTTCTTTTTATCATAATATGGAAAGCTCATACATGTGGGTGTCTGAATCCTAGATTTTTTTTAAAAAAATGTTAATTTTAAATTCTTTTAGCCAAGTGGATATTCAGGATTAGAGAGGAATATGGATAGGAAGAAAAGACTAAGACTGAGAAGAAACTTAATAGCCTTTGCTTATGTGAGAGGAAATTCTATCTGAAGGACAGACAGGTGTTCCTCATCTCAGCTGAGCTCAGACCAGAGGAATTAAATTTACAACAAGAGGAACTTAACCCTAAACAAAAAGTTCACTGTTTGGGGTATGCTAGAAATCTTTTTTTAAAAATGGAAAATAATGGGTAAATAGTTGTACAGGGGAGGAGGTAATTTGAGTTCAGCACATCCTGGACCCTGGAGAATGGGTCACATTGACCTCCTTTTGCCAGAACTCTGGTTCAGTGTGTTCTAGGAGTATCATGGAATGCAACTGTGGAGTTACATTGCTTTTTTAGATAGAAGAGAATGAACCGCAGCACACCCTCAAAACTCCTCAGGTACAAGCTTACTGTAGATGCAGTACATAAAAATTCACTTACTTGGCATTCACAGTGGGAGGGATTTTACTGCTGCTGTAATCAGGCTGTGATGGCAAAATGGAGCTGAGGAAGCTGGCTGGTGACTGGTTATAGGGGGCTGTAACCCTTTGGCCTGGGTTGGAGCCAGCAGGCTGCTGAGAAGCAGGAAAAGCAGAGGAGGACATGGTGATGTGAGAGCTCACTGTTGAGGAGGCAGAAAATCTTTGCTCTGTGCACTGGCGGGGCTGGATAATAATGGAAGACTGTTTCGTTTGGCTGGAGAAGCTGGAGGTTTCCGGTCCAGGAGGCTGCAGTCTGGAGCCACATGGGTTTTGGGACTGGAGGAAATGTTTTGGACGTTCGTAGTTAAACATGCTTAGCTGGTATATGGAAGATGAAGGCGAGTTCTCACTATGATGATTTCTTTCTGAAAGGGCAGGGTCCTGAATAGGGGGCTGCAAGCCTGGGATTACGGAAGGCTGCAAGAAATCAGAAGCAACCTTGGTCTGTCCCTCTTTGATGAGACGGTGAGAACACTGTGCTCCTGGTTTGAGTGGAGTAGGCTCCTCTTGAAGAATACTGTTCCTTCAGAAGAAGAAATAATTAAATTACAAGTTTTGTTAAGCAAAATTGCTTGGTTTAAAATTTTTTTTTAATTTTAAAGCTTATGTGCCTTTAAGGTTGCCTCAAGGCTTCCGTACTTCTCCTTCTGCTATCTCTGTCTTTACAAAGATGACTTTCTCCCTGAGCGAAATGATTCATTAGTGTTTGTTTTCCCCAGGGTGAATGCATAAGAAGGGGCTTCAAAAGGTAGAAGCCTCAAACTGAGTTTTCCAAGGTTATTTTTGAAAAGAAATTCTTTGGTGATTCTTTGGTGTGATAATTTTATGGTCTCATATTAGCTTTTATCCAGACACTGCAGATTCATTAACCACAGAGATTTAATGATTTAAAATTAATAGCAGTTAAATATATAATATTCAGCTTGAGTTACTCATCAAAATCAGTTAATTGCCCTCTGATACACTAATTAATTCATATCCTGATGGTTTCTGATGAACATCGTGATAAACCAAGGGAAACAATATGCTTCTTTTGTGAAGAATATTACTTTAATGTCCATATTTTCTCCTTCACCTTTTTTCAACTTCACAAAGTACAGTGAACATCTAAAATTCATTGTTGTCAACTCTGAGTGGATTTTTTAATCTTACAGTTCACTGCTTCGTTCTCCCCTTGATTCTAAACTGACAATTATAATTATGGAGCTCCTGTCTGAATGTTTGTGTGTAATATGTTACAGATTGCATTCTGAAAACATTTATAATTTTTAATTTTTAGATTATATTTTCCAGTTACTGTTTTTAATGTTCCTTTAGTTAATTTTCCTTTTTATTATTTTATATGTATTTTAAGCTAATTTTGAAATTTTTTTTTCAATTGGCAAAGAGGAAATATAAATATAAATGAAGAACCTATGAAGCTAGTACATTACCAAGAAAAAGTGGGTACCATTTTTCTTAGTGGGCTCTGCAGTGGCCCTTCAGTTTGCATACAGTAGATTCTCATTTTTCCTTTTCATCTGTTGTTAAAAATCAATCTTGAAGGATTAATATTTGACTGATTTTTTTCCATTATTATGGTAAATCTGAGCTAGATTATAGACAGACATAAACCAAGACTAGCCCTATATATTACTGTAACATTCCTATTTTTATTCATGATGTCAAATAATTTAATTCAAAATACATTTATTTTGTCTCACATAGAGTAAACTGACACTGAGACAGTGATAAATCAAACTTTGAATTGAAAAAGTATTCAAATCGTTTATCATGATTGAAACAAAGTCTTAAAATAATTTGAGTTACTAACTGAACAAAAATATTGTTAATGAAACCTTTCTAGACCAAACAGATTCATCTTATGATTGTATAAGTAGCTTTATGGTAGCAATTTTAGGAAAGAATAAAAATACAAATAAACAGCCAAGAAGAATGCCCTATTAAAAAAGAACTTCAAAAGTTATATATTCCTAAATTTTAAGTTTATAGACATAAATATGTTCAATCAGAGTGCATTATAGAAATGAGCTACAGTAGACCTTTAAGTTGTTGAGGAGAAACATCTAAAAGGAGAACTTTAATTAGATCTCCTCAAATAAAAAGGCTCTATTTAAAGGCAAGTAGTATTGTAGGAATTGGCTTATTTATTCCATTGCAGAACTGAATCTAGGGATTGACTCCTAACTACTATTCTAAAAAGGCAAATTATTCAGACCCATTTCAAAAAGCATGGAATAAACTGAGAAATAGCTAGGAAATATTTTCCCAAAAGAATTTCCTATTTTTCTTTATATATTTTTTCAGAATGTCAACTGTCTTAATTTTGGTATTGGCCTATACAATTAATAATTTTCTGTATTTTTGAAGCTCAATTAAGAATATGCTCTCTGGGCCAAGGATTCAGCTCAGTGGTTCTGGCGCCTGCCTCGCAAGTGCAAGGTCCCAAGTTTGATCCCCTGTACCAAAAAAAAAAAAAAAAAAGAATATGCTCTTTAAGAAGTTTCATTTTATCCATGTCTCAACAAAATTTTATGAGACTATTTATAGAAATAACTCCAAAAGACTTTTCTCCAAAAGACTTTTCTTCATATTTGTATTTACTGTTCCACAATTCTACAATAGATTCTACAATAGATTCTATTACAGGGTAGTATTATTTTATTCCAAATAATATTAAGTAAATTTCAAAGATTTTATAAATAATGTGCTATTCTGTCTCCTGGTTTAAAAATATTAACTATTAAAATATCTCTAATGCATCAGGTTTGTATAAAAGACTGATAGAAAATATTTTGAGGCCACAGTACATCATCATAATTTACAGTCAGATCAAGTGTCCATTTTCAAGGAAAAATGATGCTTTAAAAAGACACACCATTATCTTTCCCTCTGTCCTTTGTATAATTTCAGTGGAATGAATAGATCACTTTCTCTTTAAATTTTTGATAACAACATCATAATATTGTGACTTCAGTTTTTTTATCTGAATATCACCTTTGTATACATCCCTCAGTGTGTATAAAAGCAAACCCCAAGATTGTAAGCAGGAATGAAGAGGGGACTTACCGTAGTTCCAGGGGGTGCCACCGGATTTAACCCACTACTGAAGGGAAGGAAGCAGCATCTCCTTCTCTCTTGGGCTAATCTAGTGGCTCTGTGCTTAGTATTATAGCACCACTGACTTTTATCAGCTGCCAAACAGTGACATCTGATGTGCTTGCCTGTCCATCTACCTATGCTGGCATGTCAAAGTAAGAGTCCACAATCTAAACAATATCTCAGATGTCTTGGTGATATTTAAGGAGTGGGATTACATGAGCTTCTCTTGCAGGCCTCTTTATTTTAGATAGGCATTTTGACTGTGAGCTCAGAGTGCTCACACAGGGGAAGAACAGTAAATTGGAAAATGAAAAAAACTATAATGAAAGCTTGATTTCTTTATTGTGGTGGGGCCCTTCCATCTTCCCTGTTGGAGAAACAAGGACTAAAAAGGAAATGGTATTCCAAGATGAATTTTTCTATCTGTTAAGACTTCTCCACTGATGAGACCAGTGATGATGGATTCCAAAATGATTTGTATTGTGTCATTCTTCATCTGCTCCTCCCTCCCTGCCCTGCTTGTCTAATAAGTGTCGGGATGAAGTCTGATTCAAGCAATTTGTTCCAAGAGGAGGTGTGGTCTGTATAAAGGCGGAGAGCAGGGTCATGGTGACAAGTCACTGGGAAATAGGTAGATGGAAAACCACGATTTGGTTTCTTTAGCACATTTTCTGAATCTGTCTGGCATATGTCGCTTTGACTCAGTACATTTATTCTAGAAGAGTTTTGAACTACCTAAGACACAACCAACAAATAAGCAATCTATACAATTAGGACTGTCCGTGCCCTTTCTCTCCTCTCCCTTTACTCCAAACAGTTACACTTTTCTTTCTATTTTTGTCATGGAGACCATTGTGGTATTTAGGTTTCTATTTTGTGAGCAGGGAATTGAATAACTACAGAAGAAACTGTCAAATCAACAAAAGTGGTGGAATAAGGACTCACCTAGCATGAGGATATGACCAGTCAAGTAGAATTGTCTTCATTTAATGGCTTTGGTTTCCCTCCCTAACAGACAGGTTTTCCAATCTCGATTTAATTACCATGTACATTAAAGTCCAACAAATACATGTTTGAGCACATATGAGCCATGTGAAATTTTCCGCAACTGAATATGTCAGTGTACTTTTCTTTGGTGTTCAGAGTAAGTTTGGTAATTGCTGCCTGAGCATGCAGCCATTACTTAGAAGAAGAAACATGCTAAACTGTTGAGTAGGTGGTTGCCTACAAAGTCTCATTTCAGGAATCTCCCAATCTATTTCTCCACATCTGCTCACTGATATTTCACATTTCTAAAAGGGACAAAACCCTTTCATCTGTTTTATAGAGACTTAAAATGCATAAAAATAATAAGAATAGCTAGTGACATAAAATAATAAGAATAGTTAGTACATACAGTTTTTACTATGAGTCAGACACTATTCTAAGCGTATTATATGTGACTGACATTTGGCTCTGCCTGAGAACAGGATTTGGATGGAGCAAGGAAGAGGAGGTATTAGGTTTGAGGTCTCTCAGTTTTAAAGTTTGAGATACAACTCACTAGCCAAGTAGGAAAGATGTGTAAGACAAACTGCTAAATCCTTAATTTTGCTCAAGATAAGTTCTAAACATAAGATAGTTAAATCTTAGTTCCATTTACTCTTTGTCTTTCAAGTCTTGCCTCTTCTTTTTAGGTATTTGTAAGATATATTGTGAATTATGATATGATATCTGTGATAACCTTCATGGCTCACCAAGGGTAAAGATCTTTTATAAAAAGGGAATCAAGGGATGGATTTTAGGAAAAGTAAAAATGTCTTTTGCTACACCATTCTCAGGGTCTACATGTAAAAATCTATCCTGAACCTGCTTTTCTGATTTTTAATGTTTGTTTACTTTTTGGAATGATGTTTTATGCTTCTTCACGTGTGGCCATTTGAATGGTTTAGTTTATTTGAGAAAAATCATAGAATCTTAAGAGAAAGAATTAAGATGCCAGGTGAATTAACCTTATTCCAACCTGTCCACAAAGGGAAACTTTCCTATTTCTGTCTCTGAATTAAAAGGAAGCATCTCCTCTCAGTCATTCTAATGTCCCACAAAACAGCATGTCTTCCTCTGTCTCACTGAAACTTGCCCTGCTGCATGTTAGAGTAATTCCTCCTTCTGTCATCTTCAGTAACAGTTAGCTATGCAACTGTCTCTTATTCCTCCTCATATAAATCCACTGTTGTCTTTGAATGTAAAGTATATTTATGCAAGGAAAAACTGGTTGTGTGAGCTACTTCTGAAGTCAGAGGTCAGATGTGTCTATCCTTCATTCCTGCTGTATCAACTGAAGGAAGACGTGACATTGAGAATGAAAGGACTAAAGGGTGAAGAAGATTTTATTTACTTCAGGTTACTTATAATTCACTATTAATTACTGACATGCTGCATAGACATATGGTGAAAGGGAATTTGACTATTACAGAAGAAGAAATCTTCCAATCAACAAAGGGGGTGGAGTGAGGTAGGTAGCAGGCAGAGCCAGTCAACTGAGTAGATTTGTTTCCACTTGATGGCATTGGTAATTTGAAATAACCAGTTTAGCATTTGACTCAATCTTATGTTCTTCTCAAACAAGAAATAATAACGGGTTCCATTAGTTTGGAGTTAAAAAGTAAAAATGGTAACTTTAATTTTACTACTGCTTTACAACTTTCTAGTCACATTAACTTTTCTTATTATCTGTTTTGGACACCTGAGTGTCCCTACCACATACTGACTGTGTAGCCTTAGATAAACTGCCTAAGCTTTAATAACTAACTGAAAAATAAAAACAATACCTAATTTACCAACCTAACTCAGATGGTTTCTGGGAGACTTGAAATGGGAAATCATATGATGAACTGTGTTCTGGTAATAATATACCTCCTCAACTAGGTTCAAATATTTCAGAAGCAGGAACTGTTTACTATTTACTCATCCTGATCTGCACAGGATAGCTCATGGTAGACAGTAAAAACAACTTTTTTCCCTAATACCGGCGATTGAACCGAGAGAGTGCTGAGCTACATCCCCAGGCCTTTTTAATCTTTTTTATTTTGTGAAAGAGTCTTGCTAAGTTGTCCAGACTGGTCTTGAATTTGCAGTTCTCCTGCCTCTGCCTCCCCAGTAGCTGGGATTACAGGTGTGTGCCACCACACCCTGCAAAATTTGTTAACTTTTATGGAACTTTTACCCAACTGTTTTCCTCCACAGATGATCTACAGATGATTACTTTATTAATGAAGATGACTATCTCCTATGAAAGATGCTATGTTGTAAACTCAAAATCTTTAACAGTTGTAAAGCTCACTGTTAAGCATAAGTACTTATGAAGATGAGTTTTGGATCTCATCACTGGTCATCTTCTAAGGCAAACCTAGCACAGAAACAGATAAACGTATAGGATGTGATTAATAAGTGTTGAATAAATTGTAGTCTTATCTATTGTCCCACATACCATTCTTCCCGGACCCCATGAAGAATCTTTTAAATAGGGATAAGTACTGCTTGGGCAAGTAGAGATCCCTAAACTAAAGAAGTTCCAGGAGACGCACTCAGAAATCATAGCCATAGACTATTACTGGAGAGTTAATAATCCTGATAAAAATGTATTGAATGCATGTTTAGTGAAATAATAGCTACTATTTGTTTATTATGTTTGCAGTGTTGCAGGTCAAACCCAGGGCCTTACGCATGCTAAGTAAATGCTCTACTATTCAACTACACTCCTAGTCCTATGTCTGCTATTTATTGAGTCCCTACTGTGTACTTCCATACATTGTCCAAGGAATGTTAGTTTCCAAATCCAAAATCTTTCCTTTACTATCCTTCTTGTAAGAAACACATTGCCCTCAACAATATGAGCAAATCTTCTACAATATGAGTCACGTGTAGGTTGAGGAACTTGAAGTAGATGGCTTCTAGCTCCTTGCTTCTGTCAAACATGATATATTTCTTTCACTTTATAAGCCTAAATACTATCCAAGATACATCTTAAGAAGGATCCAGTATCTTTATTTTCAAGTTAATAGAGACTCCATTTAATTATACCAGGTAGGTAGTCAAGCATGCTGATTTATTGTTTTATTACAGTTATTTAACCTAAAGTTAATATAGAGGTAACTTTAGGCTGGTAAGCTATTTTGCGTTAAACCTTGCTGAAACAGAAAAATTTAAATGACTTTTGGTGTCACATTTTTGGTTGTTTTTTTTTAAAATCAATATTTTCGCTGAGATTTATGTTGAGAATGGAAAGTGGTGAGCAGTGGTAGATTGTGTTGTTTTAAACATAAGACAGTTGGCACGTTCACTTGCTAAATTGTCTCTCATTTTTACATCAGTCCTCTGAACTCAAGAAAAAAAGAAAATTCTTTTCCTTTCTTTCTTCCCTTCTTCCTTCCATCTTTCCTCTCTTCCCTTCTTCTTTCATTCCTGCCCTTTTCTTCTCTTCCTTTCCTTCTTTCCCTCACTCCCTTTCTTCTTTCTTTCTGTACTGGGGATAGAAGTCAAGGCCTTTGAACTGAGCTACATCCCCAGCTGTTTTTTAATTTTTTATTTTGAGAGAGAGCCTCACAGAGTCACCAAGTTGGTATTATGCTTTATATCTAGATGTCCCCCATGAGCTTCATGTGCTCATAGGTGGGGTTTTGAGAGGTGATTTGACTATGGGGGATTATGGGTGACTTGCTGTTAGGAGGTAGGGTCTGGTCAGATGGTTAGGTCACTGGGGGCATGGTCTGGAAAACTTAATCTCCTTTCCTGGCTCTTCCCTTTGCACTCTCTGCTTCCCTCTGCCACGTTGTGAATATTCTCCTCTGCCATGAACTAAAATAAACCTCCCCTCCCTTAAGTTGTGAGTGTCTGGTGTTTTGTTCCAGCAATGAAGGAAGTGACTAAGATAGTTTCCCAGGCTGATCTTGAACTTGCCTCCTGCCTCAGTCTCCCAGAGTGCTGGATTACAGGTATGCACCACCATGTCTGGCTTCTGTCTTTATTCTAAAGCTGACCATGAAGAAATCTGTATCATCAAATGATTTACATATTTGTATTGAGATAGGACACTGAATTCTATTTTGGAAAAATACTCCACAAGATTTGTGTTTTATCAACATTAGTTTTTTCAAGTCTCTGTAACAAATGCTAAAATATGCACCTAAATATGAGACTTACTATTTTAGACATGGTAAAATGCATGAAGGGAAGACTGGGAAAATTAAAGTGATTCAACTCAGAACGCAAGCTCCCTGAAGGCAGAAGCTTTGTCATGATCTACCTACAGAAATAAGGGCGTTTTTGAAGGAGTGAAGGTGAGGCCTGTTTACTCTTACCATTGTGATTGTAGCTTAGAGGAATCTCCATTGATGCTGCAGAAATCCTGTTTTGGAACCTGGGTCTTTTGTTCATCATAACCAGCAGGTTTGGGAACAGTTGCCATAAGGTTTATGGGCATATCATCTGAATTTTTGTCCTTTGTGTACCTTTCACTTCCACAGGGAAAGGAGACCACCTTTGGAGAAAGTTTGCTTATAGGAAACTTTGAAGAAATCTTTGAATTGTCAACTTCTTTACCTTCTGAAAAATATAATTAATTGCCAGTTAAGACAGAAAGAGAGGATTTTGCCTTTAGTTCAAGGCTGAATTGGAGCAAGGAGATTTTGAAGAGTGATCACCTGGGGAAACAAAGAGTTTTGCTGTTGAGACTACAATCCCAGCCTCATTTTCTGCAAGGCACTTGAACTCCCCAGAGTCTTCAGGAAATGCTTCTGTTATAATCAAGGTGCAGACTTCCTCTGGAAAGGGAAGAAATTCAACTTTACCAGCGTACTTGTATGTCCAAACAATATATAGAAGTATGTCAGGGAGAGTAGGTACTAGGAATAAATAGTTTTCTTGACATTAAAAACATCCATCTGATTAGATACTTTGCCATCTTAATGGGCTCATGAATATAAATCTTAAAAATATTCATAGCAAAGTTTTTATCACTTGCCTCTCAGACACATCTGTTTTCTCTATTAGACTATAGAAATCAGGAATTAAACTTTATGCCTTGGGTTTTATATTTCTGTAGCTGTTGTGTTTAGCATAAAAGTCCTATAGATATATTTTCTGAACTGACCAGGAAAGTGTCCTTTCTATGGTATTTAGACCTAATGCTAATACAGTGATGGTCACTGTGTGATGGGCACCACACCTACTTCTGGACATTCAACTGTTTGAGTGTTTAATGTCAGGATACCTCCCACTGTTTCTGTGTTTAGCTGATGAGTCACAAGTACTAAGCCAAAAGAAATTAGAGAGAGAATGCATGCTCTGAATGGGCAGGGATCTTGTCAGTTTGGTTCATTACTGTATCTTTAGTTCCAAGAACAGAACCGAGCCATAGTACTCAGTAAACATGTGTTGAATGAATGAGTATATAAATGAATACACTGACAAATCCCAGTTGTCTTGCTTCTTCTGTTGTGGCAGTTCAAAAGTTGGTACAGGGTACCCTTGAAAGAATGAAGACAATAGTGATGCTTTTTGATGCTAACTTTGATCTAATCAATTATCAATATGTTGAAAAATTATTCTTACCAGGAATTGATGATAAAGAAGCTTCTGAAAAATAAAAAGAGATAACTTAAATGATGACAATTAGTCAGAAAGGGACATGTGTCACAGACCATAAGCTCTATAAAAGCTCAGAAAAGGTACATAAAGGAATGAACACTTGGGAGGGTGCTAGAACTTAATTTTAGTACTGATTCTACCACTAAGTTACTCTGTGACCTTGTAAAAATTACTTCTTTAGAACTTAGTTCTTCATCTCTAACATGAAATGAAAGTAAAACCAGTTAAGTATCTGTTCTCTGAATGTGAACCATTGCTGAAACACAAATCCTGAAGTGGCCTTCTCCCCCCAACCCCAGACTCATTGCTCTTAATTTTTCTGATTAAAATAAAATTGAATACAACATTTTAAAATATGATAGTATACTGTAGAAAAATTCAAAAGTTTAACAATAGTTTCTCTGGGGTATGAGAATATTGATAATTTAAAACTTCATGTTGTATATTTTTCAGACTCATAATAAATTTGAATTATTTTCAAAAAATGCAATAAATTTTATTTTAAAAGAAATAACATCTACTTTGTCTCCTAAAACATGCTTCTTCCTAAAGGTGATGTCCAGTGTTCATTTGTTCCGAATTAATATTTAAACATATGTATTTTCTTCATTTTGCACAAAAATTATCTTGCACATTGGACTTGAACCTTAGCTTCGCCATTTTCTAGCTTTGTTACCTTGAGCATAGCTTTTTCATTTCTGATTATAGTTTTCTTACTCATAAAATGGGGATAATAGCACATGTATCTCAAAATGTTCATGAAAGAATTAAATGAGGAATTGTTTATAGAATACAAACTCAGAGTTTAGCATAAGGTAGATTGTCATATGTGTTACTCTTTCCTAATTCATTCTCTTGTAGGGAAATTATGCAATAAAGTATTTTTAAAAGTTATGCATCACTTTCATTTGTTTTACTCTTCAAGAAAAATGTGTAGTCTCTGGGCCTGGGATTTAGCTCAGTGGTTCTGCTGCCTTCCTCGCAAGGCAAGGACCCCAGTTCAATCTCCGGTACCAAAAAAACAAAAAAACCAAAAATGTGTAGTCTCACATTTCTTTTTGTTTACATGACAAAAACTCAGTGAAATGATAATTGAGATTAATTTGTGAAAATAAGCTAGTCTTTGCCCAGCTATTAAAATTATCCTTTCAGTCTGACGCTGTGGCACACACCTGTAATCCAAGCTATAGGGAAGCTGAGGTGGTAGGATCATTTGACCCAAGGGGTTCAACATCAGCCTGGGCAATATAGTGAGACCCTAACTCTAAAATTTAAAAACATTATTTTATTAAAGCAACAGCTATCTTTTCTTTTTCTTTTTAAAAATGTTCTTACTGTTGGGTATTTATTTTTGTGGTACTGGGGATTAAACCCAGGTTCTTGTGCATACTTAGCCAAGCGTTCTACCACTGAGCTACAGCCCCAGCCCTCTGTTTTCTTTTTTGTTGAGGAATCATTTGGATTTGAAATAACAATTATTTGACAATAGAAATCATTTAGCCTATAAACAGATCAGCTATTAAGCTATTTTAAGATGAATTAGATTTCAAAATTAATTGGAATTAAATGTAGCTGAAAAGTTTATCAGTATACTTTTCCTCAGAATCCGGAAGTCATCTGAGCTGGTTATCTGCTCTTTCTCTCTGTACCAATGAACTTGAACTGTGGCTGTGGCCTGGACTCGGCATTCAAACACGACAAACTGACCTCTGGTTGTAGAGATGTCTTGAAGATGCTGAGGAACAGACATAGAGGTTACAGATTGGAAGAGAAAATTGCACCATACACTGCACAGCGATTTGAGATGCCACTCTCAGTAAGTGTGCCTGCCTTTTTATCATAATTATTGAAAACTGACTGTACTTTAATGAAAACAAGGAGTTAGTTGCTTGCATTCTTTTGGGCTTTTCTAGTATGCTTTATAGTCAGTTGTAAGTTCTTTTTATTTTAACTCTATAGATCAGTGTTTAATGTAGAAACTGTTATTCACTTCACCTAGAGCCATTTTTCAAATTAGAGAACAGATTAGTTGAAAAGAACTTTGTTTTGCTGAATTTGATTATTTTATTGAGTATCTATCTAGTCACAGACTTAGTCTATATTATTGGTCACAGTATCATGGCAGTTTGTTCAGAGCCCTGAATCATAGTTGATAGCACTTGCACCAAACTCTCAACTTCATTCTTTCACCCCTTTTTAGCTTCAGTATTTTATATATGTATAATGATAATTATCTCTGAAGTCCTCATTTCTCCTTTCTTTTTTCATACTTCTTTGGTTAACTCTAAAGTTTATGTATAAAATCCAAACTTTATCATGCAGTAAGGATGTTACCTTGGTAAACACAGGGGCTACATCACAAGTAGATCCTGACAGGCTACTGCAGGGACTCTGCATCTGGTTTAAGGAATGAAAGAGAACATGATGCTATCGTCCATACAGACACATCCCCAAAACCCAGATATATGGTGGCCATAAACTAACTGAATCAGTTTTAGCTGCTACAACAGTTTGTAGCAGCCAACCATACTCTAAGTTTCCTTTCTGAAAAGGATATTGCTTCTAATTTAAATGTCAGTTTGGCTATCTGTTTCTCTGCCACCCTTTCTTTTTTCTCATCTAACATTCCATCCACCAGGATGCTGAAATACAACACTGGGCTTTACATTTGAGAAACAGATATTGGCAAGTATTTAAAGACTGTATAACAAAAGTTTAAATAACCTCTAAATTTTACTGTTTAAATGTTTTTCTCCTTCATACAATTGCTCTTGTTGGATCAAAAAAGCACTTCCCTTTTCAAAAGAGCACTTCCTTTCCTTTTAAATAAAAGGGAATTCATTCCTTGGATGGTTGGAATACTCTGATACGAGGCTGTTCCTTCTGTTTTGGCACGCAGACAAATCGCCATGCTGTAGAGCCGCTATGGAGTTATTCCTGCGACCCATGGATTTCTTTCATGTTCTTTCTGAGATCATGTGTCTGGCAGCTTTTCACATGTATACTTTTCAAGATAGTTGCATTGATTCTTTTCTTGACCTGTGTCTCCATTGCTTTTTTTTTGGTACTGGGGATTGAACTCGGGACCTTGCGCTTGTAAGGCAGGCAGCAGAACCACTGAGCTAAGTCCCCAGCCCTCTGTGTCTCCATTTCTGAGACTCTATAAGAAGGCTTAAAAAAGAACCTACCCTCTGGGGATCAACACACAATGACTGAACTAAGGCAGAATAACTTGATCTGGTGTTGGAGTTTTCATTAACTGGGGAACTGATGGTCAGAGAAACTCTAGTGATTTTCTTCTTTATGCTGTAAGGAAAATAAAACCAAACACAAGAGAAAATTACAAGTGACTTTGATAGAAAAGCCTTATTACACACATTTGAATGTAGCACATACTTTTACCTATAATCATTTTTTTTTAAAAGAATGAAGTAATAACTTCAGTAGTATTTTTACCCATTATTAGTGGATTATGTCTCCTAATAGTTTCATTCAAATTTCCTTTGTCTCAGTCTAATGATCAGTATCTCTTATGAAACACTTAAGATGTCCAGAAGAAATAACTTATAAAACAAATAATTATTTCAAAGTTTCTCTGTGAAGTATTAGGGTATTTTTTGCATTTTTTAAAAGTGGAGTTTCTCTTATATTCATACATGACAAATGCATATCCACATGTAATTCATCACTTACTCTGACATTTCTGTAGCATATTCCAAGCACAATTCCAGAGAAAAAAGTTTTTCTTACTTCCCTGGGCACCTATGTGAAAGAAGAGAAAAAAAGAAAAGAAAAGAAAGTCTCAGGGCCAGGGATTTAGCTCAGTGGTCCTCTGCCTGCCTTGCAAGTGCAAGGACCAGAGTTCGATCCCTGGTACCAAAAAAAAAAACAAGCCTCTACAAATCTTGCTTGTATTTAGAAAAAAAATTAGTTCAGGTAGATAGTATTTATTTTAGGGCCAGTAAGTTACTTAGTTATAGACATCCAATTAATCTAGGACAAGTGAATTCTTGACTAAGGATGAAACATTGTTAATTTTAAAAATCCAGATATTAACCTTTTACACAGTTATGGCATTGCACCTAAGACAGACAGTGAGAAATTTTCCAAAAACATCATTTCCATTTTTGTGTTTTGAATATGGCTTGTCCTTTCTCAGGTTGAAATTTGATTGCCATTGTGAGGGAGGTGGGGCCTTTATGAGATGAGTAGGCCATTAGAAGAGGCTAATGCATTTCTTACAGGGTTGAGTTAATTCTGACAGTGTTACTGTCAGCATTACCACAAGAGCTGGCTGTTATACAGTGAAGCCCAGTTCTGCTCCCAATTTCTACCATGTTCTGAAGTAGTGTGAGGCATTTGCCAGAGGCAACTTCCCAGTCTTAAACTTTCTACCCCTAGACCTGTGAGCCTAAATAAATCTCTTTTCTTTATCAATTTCCCAGTCTCAGGTTGTAGCAACAGAAAATAGACTCAGAAGCTATAGTTTGGAGTCAGTTAATTTATACTTTGGTCTGAAGTTTTCAGCATATTTGTAATTAAAAACCCATTGAAACAAACTGCAACACTTACTATAAGAAGGATGTTGTCTTAGTCCAGGCTGCTATACAAAAATACCTTACCCTGGGTGATTTATAAATAATAGAAATTTATTGTTCATAGTTCTGGTTGGATGTTGGTTGGTTGTAGGCTGGGAAATGCAAGATCAAGGTGCCAATAGATTTTGGAGTCTGGTAAGGGTTCTCTGCTTCATAAATGGTGCCTTGTTGCTATGGCAGAAGGGGCACGGGAGCTTTCTTGAGTCTCTTTTATGAGGGAACTGATCCCATTTGTGAGATGGGAGCCCTCACTTCCAAAAGGCCTGACTTCCTAATACAACCACACTGAGTATTAAGTTCCAACATACAAATTTTAGGGGGACACCAACATTCAGACTGTAGAAGATGTTGTCAGTGTTCAGATTATCTCTATAGTGATTTTCTAAAGGAACATATCTAAGTTGTTGATATCAGAAATAATTGGACTTCTCCCAGGCTATTAGTTGAGGCTTTTTTCATAGACACTGAATCTTAATATTGGTTATATTTCCCTCTATGTTAGCTACTTGAAGGTTTAGAGTTCACTTCAGAGCTCTAAACAGAGATTAGAGGTAGGATATCCTAAATTTAAAACCTTACTGCTTTTGAAAAAGACTGTATCTATGATGATTTATTTACTCAGACAAATATTTAGGTACTGTGGCCTTCCTCCACTGAGAACTTTCATGCAATTTCCAGGTAAAAGCAGACTGTAAGATGTAGATTAGTCTAAAGAATAATGTATTACATTTTCCAGGAAGCCATTGGTTTATGGAAATAGAATATTTGAAATTGTAACTATTCCAGAAAATCTAGGCCATAAAGTTATTTTATGTTTCAATGCTTTAATGAAGAAAATTAGTTCTCACTTAAAAGTCCTTTATATATTGAGTTTGATAACGTCATTAGAACTAGAATTACTGTATCTAAATTCGTCTCAATCTTAAAATATACTTTCTTAATACTTTTGGCTTTTTTAGGCTTTAAAAATGGTTTATCATTTTGAAGTTTATAACCATATAGCTTAAAACTTAGGTGATGCAAAAGATTTACCAGTACTACTTCATGTTTTATTTAGAATGTATATTTTATAATTATTTAAACTGTATATGTTATGTTTATCTTTTCTGTTATGTGGTATTTTATAATGCATTTGTAAGATTAAAATAAAACTACAAACAGGAGCTGCCTTTTGTTTTCATAAGTTGATGAGCTGTTTTTTAGTTTCAAAGAGAAGACACAAGTTATTCTTTAAAAATTTTTTTATCGGTATGTGTTTGTAGTTTGTAATTTGCACACTCCTGTGGGCAGTTGGTAATATACATAATAAGTCTTAATTTCTCCTTTCATCCCTTTTCCCTTCCTCTCTCTTTCTATCCATCTCTTTATCACCCCCCCTTATGTACATGTTTGAAGTACATAATGTTTACTTTCCTTGTGTGGAGTCAGTATATGTACATAACAGAGCTATTCTTCAGTAGTTCAGAAGTAAACACATTCAGTGCTGTGACTATGCATGGGATAAATGGGTGCTAACCATGCACGGAATACTTTTATATTCTAATATGGGCACAATCAGAACCCGTACCTATAGACTCTCTACACGGGGTAGATACAAACTTAACTGCAATCATTTCTCTAGTAAAAGAAAACTTGAGAAACACTCAAAACTCTTGAACTGGTGACTGCTTCCTAATGCCTTCTATGCTAGGACCCCAGGAGCAACGCAAAGATGTTTGTAATTAGATGGTAAAATTTGCATATATGAAACTCAATAATGCAAAATATAATAATAATAAAATAGAACCAAGCACAGTGGCACATACCTGTAATCCCAGCTGCCCAGGAGTGTAGGCAAGAGGATCAGAAGTAGCTAACCTGGGCAACTTAGCAAGACCACCAAAATAAACTTTTTCTAAAAAGGGCTGAGTGCTGGGGATTTAGCTCAGTGGCTTCACTGCCTGCCTCACTAGCACAAGGTCCTGAGTTCGATCTCTGATACCAAAAAAAAACAAACTTGGAAAAAACAAAAAGAGCTGAGGATATAGTTCAGTGGTAGAGTACTTGCCTGGCATGTGTAAGGCCCTAAGTTTGAGCCCCACTACAAAAAAAAAATAGAGATAGATATGTTTCATCTTAAAGTGTCACAACACATCTGAAACATTAATGCTATATTGCATTAAGTAGTGCTTGTGACATCACAGGACAACTATTAGACATCACTGAGCAGGATACTAGAAGTAGATGCTTGAAGTAAGTAAGTCGAGAGGCTTGGCTGGTCTAAGAACATTTCTACATAGGGTGGATCTTCAATGAAACTTTGGAGAATGTTTAAAACTGTAAAGGTGAACTATATAGGTGTGAGTTGGGGATGGAGTTTTGGAGTGAAAGGTGGAGGAGACTGGAAGGGGTAAGAGGAAAGTAACATTTATGGAACACTAAGCTGTGTGTCAGACACTGCAATTCCATTATGTTGTATGTGAGGAAAGCAGTTTGTGACCATTAATTGGGGTTGAGTACTCAGATTTCCTGGATATTCTACTAGGTATATTAGGCTTCCGTTTAAGTCTCAGTTTCCCCGTCTGTAAAACAGGGACAATAATAGGGTTTATTTCTAGAGTTGTCTTGAAAATTTAATGAGCAACCAAAAAAGCACTTAATTCATTACATAACATCTATCAAACACTGCAAATGTTATTTGCTATCATTATTGTGATGGTGGTTATATGTAGATCCAGGGGATATTTTGCCTTCCCTCAGATGTTTCTAATCTAGGCCTACATAGTATTTTCTTCTCTTGTGAATTTAGAACTTCTATAGCAGGCTTTGTTTTTAACAATTTTTTACCATATATTACTTTGGGAAGCTCTTTAAGGTCAGAGATCTTTTAATATGTTTCCTATTCTCAAAGTGTCTAGCCTAATGTTAATGTGCAGTAGCTATGGAGTTGGCTGATTTTATACATTTATTGCACAGAGAGATACTATTATTAGTTTTCCTAGGAGGTGTTTGTTGCTTTACGCTGTTTCCCTCAACCCTATCCACAGATAAAAACCACTTATACAAAGGAATTGCCTTTCTTTCCTTCTTGGCGGTAAGTCCTAACACCACATCAGCCTACGATTGGTTAACTAAACTTCAGGCCAAGAGAAGACATGATAAATCTTCTTGTCCAACATCTTCAGAGAGCAAAAGTAAGGTTTGGAGAGGTGATAGTATTTGTCTAAGCCCATGCAATCTATTGGTAGAAGAGTCAACATTAGAATCCAACTCTCCTGTCTTCCGATGCAATCCATACAGGTTTATAGCAAATAGGCTCTGTATTACCACATAAATTTGAAACTCTGGGTATTAGCCTCAGTATTTAAGTAATTTTCCCCCTTTTATTAGGACAGAGTATATATATATGGCTCTGAATTCACTGGGTAGTGGAACAAGCCTTTTACTGTGTGTAAACTCCAGTAGGTCAGACAGAGACTTAGTCTGTTTTGTGCACTCTTGTATCCCAGTGCCTAGAATAGTGTCAGACATACAGGAGATTAATAATACCTATTGCTTGAATGAATAAATTTCCTTTATTAGCAATATTGGTTGAAACTTCATTGGAGAATGTTCATCGCTTCCAGAGACTATGAATTTCTGGAACTTCTTGGAAGAAACATGGCTTATAAATAAATATAAGGTCAGTTAATTCTAGAGGCTAAAAATTCCTCTAAACTCCTTGGCACATGTCAAAGGAGAAGCTGGAAAATATTAGCAGAATAGTTTTGGTGGTGAGTAGAATTCAGGTTTTCTCATCTTGAAATTGTCCCATGCTCTCAAGCTAATAAGAACAAAAAAGAGAAAATCTAATATTTTTGAAGGGGAGGTCATACTGGAGTCCCTTAACATTCCAGATGCTTCCTGTTCTAAGCGTGAACAGTCACTCTTTATGGAGCAGGCCCTGGCAGCCAGCAGCCTGACGTGCTGTGTGAGGTGGAAGCCAAGCAGTATTTCCTGTCTTCTGTCTCTGATCTTCCAACCAATGACAGGAGACAGTGATGACTAATGGAACCAAGAAATGCCCTGAATATTCTTTTTGGCATGTCATACATTGAATAAACTATGTCCGCTAAGGTATGGAGGCCAGTAAGAATGGCTAAGGTATGGAGGCCAGTAAGAATGGCTAAGGTATGGAGGCCAGTAATGTGGGGAGAGAACACTAATTCAACACCAAGGAAATCTAAATTATGTTTTTAGATCTATCATTAATTAGTTATAACTTTGAGAAAGACTTTGGGGGCCAAGTTATCTTATACCTAGTGAGAAGTGGCAAGTGAGATTGACCCTAAGATTTGTTCTAGAATCTATTCTTTTGTTCTTTTAAAACATTTTTTAAAATCTGAGGTTCCTATTATGCTTTCAAATCTCTGATCTTTAGAATTACCAGAGTAGATGAAATTCCAACAGAAGATAAGAGAAAGAAAGACCAGTGTTGATGTTACAATTACAAGCAAAAGCACTCAACACTTTTAGCAGTGGCTTTCACTGACCCTCCGTAAAGAAAAGTTTTGAAAGATGAGCTGAGCCTTAGAAACAACTTAAACAATTCAGAATGTTATTTACTTATGAAAACAACTCTTTTAAGAACTCATTTGTGTAAGTAGCAAAACAAAACCAAGCATACAAAAGAGTAATTTCTAAACGAAGTCTCACTCTCAAATATCAGATTCTCTTACTAAAGCCTCTGTAATCTTTATATTTGATTCCCATGTATTTCCCTCTAGGGGATTGATTTTTTTTTCAAAAGAAAAAAAAACCACCTCTTTTTCTTTTTTTTGGTACCGGGATCAAACTCAGGACCTTGCGCTTGCGAGGCAGGTGATGGATCCACTGAGCTAAATCCCCCGGCCCTCGTTTTCTTGACTACTAGGAAAATGCCATTCCCTAAAATGTCAAAATGAAAAATGTGGATTCAGGGTATGTGTGGGCCTTCCTGTAACCTGTCCTGAAGTGTTCCTTCTTAGTTTTAGGCAGTACTGGGGATGTCCTTGGGAGAAAAAATAGCTAGGAATTTTACTTTGGTGATGAATTATGCTAGCAGGCTTCATGTCTCACATAAATGGTAACCTTTGCT